TTCACAAAATCTGGTATAATAGCTGATAAATACTTAGATTTAGTATATGTCTCTTCAATCCGAATGGTTAACAAACGGTAGACTTTCTTTCAGCTCTGAGGTTAAGTATTCCTTTATTGTAAATTACATATGCATTTCAGGCTTATATGAGCCCCTCTTCAGTGTAAATTCTCAGATGGTTGAGTAACACTTTTTAAAAATTGTATGACATCAACAATGACATTATTACCAACAAAACACATGAATAACAATCGTATATGAGTATAATTCCCAAACCTGTTCTTTTTATCCATTTTGTCATTAAATTTTCTCCACAAAATCTGGTATAATAGCTTTGAAGAGGGGCTCATACAAGCCTGAAATGCATATGTAATTTACAATAAAGGAATACTTAACCTCAGAGCTGAAAGAAAGTCTACCATTTGTTAACCATTCGGATTGAAGAGACATATACTAAATCTAAAAATTAAGAATATTGTTGCAAATACGATTGTTTTTATGTCCATAATAAAATAAATTTTTTTGTAGAATACTATTTGTTAGAATTATTAAGAAAATTGTAGTTTCTAAACATTGCTTGAAACTGCACTGTCAGAAAAGTTTTTTAACACCATAAATCTTCAATGACTTATCTAATTATTTTCAAGAATCAGTAATAGAAACCATTATTTCAGTGTTATGAAAAAGTAGCTGTAATAAAAGAGACTAAATTATTTGGTGCATAAAGATATTAACTATGCCTCACAATAAAATGTCTACAATTTTCTCTTTCTCAGATTACAAGTATTCCCTGAATTGTTATCACATCTGTTGTTTGCTACAGTTATGTAATAGAAATATTGTATGACATTGCTTAAATGTAAATTGTATTAAAATTATTCATTTTGAATTTATGAGGAATTTTCCAATCATAAATTACATGAACAGTTACTTTATTTGAAGCTATTACAAAAAAAAACTGCATGAACATTTTTTATTACTACATCATTTATATGTTTTTGGAAAAATAAGTTTAATGAACAGCATTACTGTAGAAACAGAAATTGTAAGAAAGACATATCTATAATGATAAATAAACAACTAATCAAAAATTGCTCAGTTACTAGAATGTGTACAAAATATTAGAAATAAAAATGAAAATTGTTAATTAAAATATAATATAATTTATATAGCTTTGTTTCTTTGATGATGCACATTTTTTCTGTAGCAGTTTTTCTGTAATAGCTTCAAAGTAACTGTTCGTGTAATTTATGATTGGAAAATTCCTTATAAATTCAAAATGAATAATTTTAATACAATTTACATTTAAGCAATGTCATACAATATATCAATGTCAAACAACATGTTGAAGTGGCATAAAAGATGTAATTTCTACATCATTAGAGATAATAAAGCAGAAAATATAGTTATATTTCAAAAATTGAAGATTAGTTCAAATAAAAATTGGAGTTTAACTTGAAACTAGCTTTTAATATTATATTATGAATTTTGAGTTTATTGAAATTAAAATATTTCATATAAGTAAACTTTACTAAAGATTGGTTTTCAATTAATATTAGGCTGTGATATCCATTGCTGTTTCAAAAGATGGAAGAAAAGCAGCATTTGGTAAAAATGATGGCATAGTTCAACTTGTTAATTCTTTGTCAGGAAAGGTAATTATGATTATATCACTTTTAAAAATTTTTTTAAATTCTATTTCTGTTATTATACAGCTTCATCCATGTGTTGTATGATATCCATTATTTATTAGTTATAAAAATATGACAATGATACAGTGAAAACAAGTAAACGTGGATGATAATTTCAAATATTAAGAAGTTTTTAAAATAAAAAATGAAAATGCTATATATTATTTATTGTTCATGAAATACATATGCACAAGAGAAATCTTTATGTATGTATATATATACATATATACATACATAAAGATATGTATATATATATATATACACACAAACACACACACATCATATACATACCAATGTACACTGCTGGCTATTAAAATTGCAACATAAAGGAAGACAGAGATATCAAAATGATATTTTTAAGGCAGATTACTTATAATACTTGATGTACATGATTAGAAATGTACAATTCAGTGAATATGCAGAATGCACAATAATCAGTATTTAGTGTTTTCACCATTGGCAGAAATAACTGCTTTGGCATGAACTGGAAGAGATGTTTAATGTGCATTTATGGAATATCATGCATTATGTCATGCAGTCTCTACAAATGCACAAAGTTTATTAGTGATAACTGCTGGTGGATTCTGATGAGCCCAGTCATCATGCAACCAGGATCTGCTATATAGGACAAACTTTGCCATACAGCAATATTTTTATCACTCTGGTGAAACAAACTGGAAGTAAAGAATGTGGGTTGCAAATTAACACATACACACTTGATCATAATGCTTTTTTGGCAGTGCTTGTATGAGTATTCAGAACATCAAATATTATCATTTGTATTTTCTGTGAATACATCCAGTCCTTGATAGACTATGAAAACATGTTTTGCAACCTCCTGCAACAGAACTGCAACAATAATTCTCAAGCCAAATCAAGCTTCATTTGTTATCCATTAATAATTTATAATTATTAATGGATCACAAGTGTCAGCTTGTAATTATAAAATTGTGTATTCAATATGATTATAATGTGTTTTAGACTTTAAAGTTCTTCACTCACACAAGGTATTATATGTTTAGAAAGAACATAAAAGTTAATATACAGTTTAAGACTACACAATAATGAGTCTTTCAATGTCTTTTCTCACACTGAGGTGTGAGAAAGGACATCAAAAAACTCATTATTGTGTAGTCTTAAATTGTATATTAATTTTACAATTATAGTCCTGGCAATTTTATCAAAAACATAAAAGTTAACAAGTAATAATAAACAAATTGCAGGAGGAGGATTGTGTCATATGGCAAATTTTGCATTGCTTTCAACATGCAACTTTTATAAATTTCATATTTCACATTTTTACAAAAATAGACAAAAACAAGTCTCTATATTTCATACACCTATATTATACATATCCAATTATTAATTGGCTTTAATCAGATATAAATAAGAAAAACCTTATAATATGATTTCCATTGGAAATATAATTTTCCAGTCAATTAGATTTATTCTAGAGGCTTTTGTACCTATCTGAAATAGATGCAATAAACCAAACAAGTTATTCATATGCAAGTATTTTAAAACATTATGTGATTTATAGATTCATCTTAATCTTTTTATAGTACAGTGGAACCCTGTTTATCCAGCTCAAATGGGACCCAGCCCAATCCAGATGACCAAATATTTGATAATCCAGAAAATTCATTAATGTTGTAAATAACACAGTATATATATATTTACTTTTGTGTTCTTAATTTCTTTTCCATCATAACAACCACTATTTCTTTTAGATGTCATTTTCAGATTTGGTATTTACTTCATAAAAGATTGAAGGTGACTTAAACTCATCAAAACAATAATAGCAATGGGTGTTGAGTGACTAATAACTTGTGAGGTTACAAATGATAAATTTATTAACACATTGACTGTTGTGAGAAGCACAACATTTTTATTCAACAAGAAAGTAGCAATTTTTTATAACTGAAAATTTTAAAAGATTAGAAGAGACTCAACAAGATATTAAGTAAACTCAAAGAATACTCCCACAGAATGCATAATAATGAACATCATTTGCTGATTCATAGAAAACAAGCCTATTCTTGTAAGCTGCAATGCTACACTCAGGCAAGAATATACTTAGGAATTCTTTGCTTTTTTACATTTATAGGTTTTCCTATTTCTATCTTTCATACTTCTGAGACAGGGATTATGTTTTATAATCCAGATAAACAGGATTCCACTGTAGTGAAAAACTAAACATTAGCAGTTTCATCCAGTATAAATAAAAACTACTAATTAGCACCAAAATATTAACCTGCTACAAGATTATATGATAATATTGCAAAGCTTCCTAAAGAATAAAATCAAAATATTTTGTAAAAAAAAGAAAAAAAAAAGAAAACAAGAGAAAATGAAAAACAAAGTTTCAGTTTCATTTTTGTTAGTCATAAAATTGCAAGTATACAAGTACTTTCTGGAATATATGTGAAATATGCAAAGAAGACTACTTTCCCTGGCATAAAGTACTGTATATGCCAGGCAGTCTATAACCTGGCACATAGGACATTGTCTCAATTTTGCCTTATAACTTTTATAAATTTCATTCTTATTGATATCAACAGAAATAAATTTATGTTACAATTTGTCACTTATATTGTAGATGTCCACTGCATATATTTATGTAAAACAAATTCTTTGAGTACAATTTTCTGATTGACTAAGTATGATTTAAATGCAATTTGTAAAAATTATAAGAAAGCAATCAAAAATTTATTTTTGCTGATAGATTCCCAGATATCTTTAAATACATTTCATAAAATTTTATTCTTGTTTATCCAGCACGATGTAGTGCAACTTAACGATCACTTGGCTTTCTTTCACCTTTATTCTAGTTGATACGCACTTACATCTTGTGTTTTGAGCTAAATACACCCCTTTTCAGTCAACTAAAATTAATAAAAACAAAAACAAAAAATAGTTTTAACATACAATACTTTAAAAAACCTCTTACACTGTTTAAAAAAGATACAGACAAATTAATTAACTCATCAGCATACCTGGATATTAATGGTTTGGCAATCTGAACAAGGTTTTACGTACATACAACAATACATCAAACACTCGACCTACATACATATTCTGGCATGTCTGTTTTTGCAAAATATACCGTTATTTGTGTTGTTAACTATTACATTATATTATTTCACCTATCTGTCATTAACATACCTTGATTAATCTGTGAAATAATATAATGTAATAGTTAACAACACAAATAAGGATATATTTTGCAAAAACAGACATGCCAGAATATGTTTGTAGGTCGAGTGCATGTTGTATGTATGTAAAACCTTGTTCAGATTGCCAAACCAATAATATCCAGGTATGCTGGTGAGTTAATTAATTTGTCTGTATCTTATTTAAACAGTGTAAGAAGTTTTTTAAATATTGTATGTTAAAACTATTTTTTGCTTTTGTTTTTAATAATTTTAGTTGACTGAAGAGGGGCATATTTAGCCCAAAATGCGAGATGTAAGCACATATCAACTAGAACAGTGTTTCTCAACCTCTAACGAATCGTCGCCCCTTCAATAAAACTGTTATGTAGTATCGCCCCATTCACTACAAAATTCCGATGCCGAGGGCCAAGGCTTACGCCAAATTTGTACTGCATTGAATAGCGTAGTGATTTGTATAATGTTGTTTGTTTAATTATTGTAAAATATAATGAATAAAATATCTAATTATTCTTAATATAATATTTTACTATATTGCCCAGAAAATTGTTTTTCGCCCCCAAAATATAAATTGTTACTAATCGCCCCTGAATATGGAAAAACGTCCACATGGGGGCGATATTGTCCCCATTGAGAAACACTGAACTAGAATAAAGGTGAAAGAAAGCCAAGTGATTGTTAAGTTGCACTACATTGTGTTGGATAAACAATAGAAATAGAACATGACATGGTTTCAAATTGATAAAAAATTTTATTAACTTAAGAAATTTTGGTGGAAAAATGTAATTGAATAATATTAATTTTTATAATCAAACATGTTGATAAAAAAATAATAATTTTATGTATTCTTGTAAAAGTTAGAACAACAGTAGAATCTATTTGCTAGTGCAAAGTTTGAAAACAATAGCTATTATAGAAAAGAAATTTTTCAGTAAACACAAAGTGTAAAAATATTTCTCAGATTTGTGAGTGTCAATAGAATGTAATTAACTCTATTCTGTCAAACCTCACAAATTATGAAAATAACAGGCAATGTGACACATTCATCTTTGTGAAATGTTCCTGTGAATGTTGGCCATTTGCATGGAATAACAGATAGATGGAAGATTATGATGTTGTGATATAAATTCAAAATAGCATAATGATGCAAAATTTTTTTTGAATTTTTAGAGGAATCACTGTGCATCATGTCTCTGATATTCTCAGTTAAGGACAAAAGCAAGTGAATGTACTGTACATACATGCTGGAAAGAAATGCTGAAATCTTATACATAATGGTTATCCAAAAACTGTAGACATTTTGTCACATTTGTTCAGGTAGGGCTGTTGAGAGAGGGAAGTTGGGAATTTTCTTGGGCCCAGAGAAAACTTAAAAACTTGTAGTAGTCTTTGTATCCATATAAATTAATGTTATTTCTATTAACAAAAATTAAAATTTTTAAAACTACTTTTTATTAATAAAGAAACATTCTACATGTTTCATTTATTAAATAAATACAAAAGGGGTTCACTCTACCCTGGGACACCATACAAGCTCTTCATAGCCCATGGTCAGATAATGTCCTTTTGAAATATGGGAATCTGTAGTTGTACTGCAAATGAAGTACAACCTCAGCTTTCAGTATCTCGTTGATGTACCAGCAATGCATATGAGGCAGGAATGAGGGTAGAACCTGATGCCACCACACATCATAACTTATACTAGGCCTGTATGATGATGTAAAATGCATACCTTCAGGAGTCTTTTACCACAATGCCTTCTTACATAGATCTGTTCATCTTGATGCAATAAACTAAACTAGGATTTATTTGAAAATATATAAGATAACACTCATCTTGCTGTGGTGATATTCTTGGCATCATTGC